TATTGTGTATTGTTTCTGTATTCAGCGCAGATGAACATCTTGTGCTAATCTGCGCTTTATAAATGTAATTTATTATTATTATTATTATTATTATTATTATTATTATTAAAGGCGAATACAATAAACGAGTTACGGAGTAAATTTTGACACTTAAAAGGCTTGATGAGCACAATGGAAAGACAAAGGAAAACGTACTATAGCTTATTTAAAAGCTCAACAGCTTAATAATAATAATAATAATAATGGGGTTCTTATATAGCGCATTATCACATTGTCTTAATGCGCTTTACATTGCAGTGGAGGACTTTACGGGCTGCATATTAAGGCGCTATTAGCAGCCGTGCAGCTTACAATCATGAGTGATTTATTAGTACGTTAGTGTTATGCCTCCAAATTGGGATAGGCTTAGGAGTAAAACATCCATATTTGGGTTTATAAAAAGAAGGGAAAGAAGAGAAAAGATTTTTCTTACTACGCGATAGCTTTTCTTGCAGGGAAAAAAATGGCGAGAAAACGAAAGGCCAGTAGCTCAAATCATTTTTCTTTTCAGAGTTTTAGCTTGTTGATATGATTTTAAAAAGTATTGAACTAGATAAGTTAATGAGTAATTGTTATACCTATGTTAAATAAAAGAGGAATTAAAATTTTATAGAGAATGCGCATGTTATGTCATAACCACCATCTTGGTTGACGATAGCAAAGCATTCCTCATTAACTTCTCTTGTTAGATCAACCAAGATGGCGGCTGTTTCATTGTTAATCATACCTCAAGGGATTTTGAGTCACATGATTGCACACACTTTATTGTATTTGGTAGAATACAATCGCGCAAGGATTTGGTTGCTAAGATTTGGTTGCCTGATCTTCCTACTACAGCAATTTCTTTCTCATTTTCTCTGGAATGATTAACTAAGATATCATCGAAAGTTTTCAAGTATTTTTCCTTTGAAACAAGTAGACGCGATGGTTCTGGAAATTGCTTACTGCAGGCTYGTATTGAAGCGACCCAAACTCTTATTTGGTAAGTAAAAGTCCACGAATGAAAATTCTAATACGTCAAGTCAAGAAATAACWGTTTAAGCTTCTTCGATTGTCATATATAAATTGCATGTTCACCTTGGATTATGACTGAGTTTTGTATTTAGAAAATCAAGGCAAAAATATAACTCGAACGTGGAAAAACGCTGAACTTAGCCGCGTTATTATAGTATCATGGATAATTTGGACAAAGTATGGCCTTATACTTAAGATCTTCGTAAAAACATGTTCAACGTACCTATTTTGTACCTTAGTCCGTAAATAATCTAAATTTGTCCTTCAACATAGTTTGAAAATCTTGACTCGATTTACAAAAGGACGAGTCAATTTTGCGACAGACACGTTAATACAAGACAACTTTTCTTGGACTTGCCTTAACAAAATACCGGGCTTGCGACTTGAAAACTAAAGTTGAAATGTCAAAGTAATACTTCGCACTTAAAAAACAGAAATTAGAACGACATGAATAGTATCCATTTGCCTTGGAAAACTGTTACTTTTTTTAAAAAAATATATGTATTTAAAATGAAAATTAACGCAAAAATCCGAAGTTTCGGAGTCATCTTGGCTCCATTATCAAGGTTTAATAATCAAAGTTTCATCTCACTATTTAAATGTTTAACATACAATGGGTAYTGTCACGATTCACAAATTAACAAAGTCAAACAAAGACTTTTGATCTAATTGAGTCAGATTGTGTGTTAAGGGTTGGAAGGCGGTCACGGATGAACGGCATCTCGTAAAGTAAACAGTCAAATTTTCCTTTACACCTTTTGATGATCTTAAAAGATTGTTTTATGTCCGGTTTTGTAAGGCTATGTCCAATTTTCATGTGGCGTCCAATTGCTGATAGTTCAGATTTATGTTCTTCCACGCGTTGATTTAAATGCCGTGCTGTGTAGCCAATATAATCTGTATCGCACAGATCACACTTGAAAAGATAAACTAGACATTGGTTGCTAACAGCATCCGGTTTGCTTTCGCAGTACTTTTAGTGATTCTCGATCTTCACACTTGTAAATACTGGATGAAAATCAACATTTCCAATTTTCATACTAAGGTCTTTAAGTTGTTTACGGACCACATTCGTCGGTTTCTGATCTTTATAAAAGGCAGAATAATTCGGACAGTTTTTTCGTGATGTTGTGTGTTCTGGTCACTTGACTGTCCAACCACAGAATTGACAAAATTAGTGACGATTTTGTCAATGAGAACTCCTGGATATTTAATCTTTTTAAAAATGCGCTTGAGTTGTTCGCATTCGTCAAAAACTAAGTTTGAAGTTGAAGACAAGCGATAATCTCTGTTAAGCATGGTCTTGAGTAATCCAGTCTTGTAGCTAGAAACATGAGAGATGGTTAGTATGAAATGCAGGCACTGAGGGTGGTCACTGCCAGGGTTTCTCTACGTCCTCAGTGATTCTCTTACGTCCCTCCGATATTGGTTAGTAATCATGAAGCGTGGAGAGACAGGACCGCCATTTAAAGTGGTAATACAAGCCACTTCGAAGTCTAACCACTCGTAGATTGAATTACGAAGGCAGCACTTTATCCTCAGTTATTTGAAGAATCTGAGTGTTGGTCTGTCCGGGACTCGAACAACGACCTCCCGCACAAAAGTCTGATGCTCAACCAACTGAGCCAACCCGTTGTTATTAAATATCCAGTTTCAATAGAGAAAAAAAATTAGAATGTTTTATTTTTTGGACTATTATTAAAAGTATTTGTTTATTGTTTCGAATTCGACAGCTTTAACCCTAGGTTGTCACATCATGGCTATCTTATTAACTGGTCTTCTAAACTTTTCTGGTTACGACATCTTGCCCGTTGACTTCATGCAACTTCCAATGCAGCTTGAAAGCGAAGATGTCAAACTTCAAGGAGACGCGTGGAAGTTTGCTGCAAGTGACTCCAGAATGACATGGATTTTCAAAAACCCAAATGACAAGCAAGGAATAAGGACCACAAGGCATGAAGACCTGGAAGTATTCTATGAGAATAAAAATAGCAACAACATTTTTACCAAGGAAGCTCTAGAAACTATTCAGGTTTTCGAAAGAAAGCTCTATAATAATTCAATATATCAAAAGGAATTGTGTTTAATGGATGAAAATAAGCGGTGCTCGCTTCCCATTTCGGTGATACGGTTTTTTGACGGTACCTATCGACATATCAATCCGATTTTCTTTGACCCGCACTTTCAGCARATTCCGCAAGTTCTTAAAGCAGCCAACGTGTTGATGACATCCTCGATGAGCTACCATCTTGGGAAGGACTTCAAGAACAGCTCCAGTGAATTCACTTCTCCGATCACTAGGTCAATCTTTTTTACAGCATACCCCGGGGGATACGAAAAGGCCCAGACACTTGCTGAGGATGCATTTGGTCTCATCTTGGATGATGCATACACAAATGGAGTTGGTCCTCTCAAGATTCACTATCTCTTGCAGACGCTGATGTTGAGTTCAGTCCAAAAGCAAGTTATCTGGGACTTACTTCTCGTCTGTGGAAGTGTCGTTTTCATATTCCTCTTCATGATCTTACAAACGCAGTCGCTCTGGATAACTGGTTGGGGCGTGTTCAGTATTTTTTCTTCATTCTTCGGAGCTAAYATCGTTTACCGTATCCTYTTAGACTTTYGCTATGTCGGGATCTTTCACGTTCTCTCGGTGTTCATCATCTTGGGTATCGGAGCTGATGACGTTTTTGTCTTTTATGACACTTGGAGAGCATCCAAGGAAAAAGGATTCCCAAACCTTCTTCAGCGCTTCTCGTACACATACAAGCACGCCGCTGGTGCTATGTTCATCACATCCTTCACCACATTCGTCGCATTTTTGACCAACGTTTTTTCTCCGTTACTCGCTGTGTCGAGCTTTGGTGTCTTCTCGGCACTCATAGTCATGGTGAACTATGTTTCTGTCATTCTATTCTTTCCAACTGTTATCATCACTTATGAACTCTACTGGAAAGACTGGAAGTGGCCATGCTTCGCATGTAGGACCAACAGAGTGAGCAACAGTGATGAAAATAAGGAAACCGAGCTTGTCCAACAGCAAGATAAGGAGAAACGAAGAGATGCTACACTTGTTATCGCTAACTTTATAGGGGGGCCTTTTTACGAAAAGGTTATTGGTCATAAAGTGGTGCGATGGATTCTGATGGTCATAACGATCTCTTTTGTCGTTGTATCGATTGTATTCGCGGTACAACTTCAACCAGACGATGAGCAGGTAAATCTATGATAATAGAACTTCAATATCTTTATTGTTAACCTTTGCCATTTGTTTAATATATGCACACTTTACAGTATACAGCTACTTCAAAAATGGTTGATGAAGGTTTTGTTGCATGTTCGATGTTCCATGTTCCATGCTTCATTTTCAGTGCTTTTTGCTTACTAATCTTGAAAGGTATTAATATCTTTAAGTAAATAATGTCAGTTGGGGGGATCAGGTCAATATTGACAGGAATCAAAGGGAATATCACTCAGTAGTCACCACTAATAAGAGGGGATCATAAACATATATTGTGCCTCTTTGGTGGATCAGGTAAATATTGACAGGAATCAAAGGGGATATCACTCAGTAGTCACCACTAATAAGAGGGGATCATAAACATATATTGTGCCTCTTGGGTGGATCAGGTAAATATTGACAGGAATCAAAGGGGGGAATCACTCAGTAGTCACCACTAATAAGGGGAATCATAAAGATATATGGTGCCTCTTGGGGAGAGCAGTTAAATATTGAGAATAACCACTTAGAAACAACTAAAAGTATGGTCATAAAAATGTAGTGCCTCTTAGGGGGGGAGGGGGGAGTCATTTAACCTTACTTTAAGATGTTGCAACAAAATTCCTCCCACCCCAATGTAGACGACAAATAATGACCTGTCCCTTATGGAATTCAGTTGCTTGATTTCTGGGTTTGTGGAATAAAACAAACGAAAGCTGATTTGCATGCAATGTTCATGATCTAGTCTTCTTTCACTTTCTTTACAGATGAAGTCATTTCCACCTTCTTGTTGTAATGCTTTTCATACCACTCCTGAATCAATCAATGCCTGGCACTGGATCAAAGTACAAGAGGTAGGAAGATGCTTGTAGGTGATACATTTACCTCTGAACGCTTGGAAAGATTGAGCTCAGTTGACAGAACGCTCCACCATCTTGTATTTTCGATACGGACCTATGTTTCTTTGCAAGACGCCTTCTTTCCAAGTCTTCTTCGATTTTAAGGGATTTTTAGGGTGAATGAAAAATTCAGCAGACGATTGCATGTGGACTTTTAGGCCCATGAGAACAATTATCGTTTTCAATTGTTTATGAAAGCACTATCCTGAATCAGGCGTTCCTTGCTTTTTCTGGTCGGGGACGCCAAGGATTGGCTTCAATCTTCGCCGCGCCTTCATCAGAACCAGCCAAGAACACTTCCAATGCAGGATAGTAAAGCAGTGTACAGGCAGCCCAAGCAACGCCCTTGACAAGTCCGTACGAATGGTTTTCATAGAGAAAATCGAAAAAGAAAATACAAAATACAAAAACTCTGAATAAATGTTTAGCTGGGAAGTCACTTAACCCGTGACATAAAATATACTAGTCAACGTGTAATAGACACAAAAGAAAACAATGGAACTAGGGTCTACTAATGTGTATTAGTGTAATATCTATTTCATGTGTTTAGTGACTTCAATCTAATGACATGACGATCTTTATGACTCTCTTATGTTAAATGTTAAAACACAGAAAGTTGTTTTTATGTTATCAGTCCAGATATTATTCCAGGGTTGGCTAAAATGATATATGTTTTTTAGGTTCTTGTCATCAACGCCATTCGAGGTGTTTGCCTTGGCCTTGCACTTACATTACCMATCCTCATTGTCATGACAACCAAYTGGATCGTCGCTCTCCTATGCATGTTATCCATCGCTTGCATCRCTTTGGGAGTCATAGGCATCATTCCAATGGTTGGCTGGAAGCTAGGAGTCCTAGAGTCTCTGAACCTCACTCTCGTTGTTGGGCTGGCTGTGGATTATGTCGTGCACTTGGCCGAAGGTTACGTCACGTGCCCATTCCAATCAAGACAAGAGAAGGTCAAGCATGCGCTTGAACATGTTGGAATCTCAGTGATATCAGGCGCTTGTACGACGCTTGGAGCTACAGCCTTCATGTTTGCAGCCAAAATACTCTTCTTCTTCCAGTTCGGGATTTTTATATTCTGTACTATTGGACTGTCTTTGGTCTTTTCTCTGTTCTTCTTCGTGACGTTGCTAGGAATATTGGGACCACAAGGAACAACTGGATCTATAAAACCCTGGTATAGGTACATAAAAAACAAGATAAAAGGGGAAAAAGCTGGTGATATGCAATGCACAAAGTGTGATGGTAAAGGGTTCTACTCCTCAGATAACCAGACTGGCCAATCACAGAACAACAACCTCGAAAAGAGTGCACATGCTTAAAAAAAGAGAAATTTGGTGTTTCAATAATGTTAACACCAGTGTAATTAGTTTGAACTAATTTAAAACAGGTTGTAAATTTACTTGTAAAACCCCGATCGCAAAAACCAGTTGTAAATTCAAAATAATAATGATTCTTTTTAGTAGGCAAACAAACTTCAATATGACTTCCAAATTGGCCCACTTTTATTTTCACACACGCTACCCATTTCGTTCATTCTAATTCCCCGTTTCCATACCGAGCGGGACACTGAGTCTGAGTTTGAACCACAAAGCATGCATGGATTGTTTGGAAGGACAGAATTTTCAATCTTTCAATATTTGAACAGCCAGGCACGCAGCAATTGAACTTGCGAGGCATAATATTTGCGATAACATTTAAGACTTAAAAGAGGGCCGCTGTAGATCGAAAATTCTGTCCTTCCAAACAATCCATGCATGCTTTGCGGTCCAAACTCGGACTCAGTTTCCCGCTCGATATGGAAACAGGGAATTCTACTCACTTGTTGATTTAAGGAGCGAGAAAAACTGGTGTAAAACCCGTGAAGCTCAGAAAAGAACGTCAAGCTCATTACTTCTCTATTTACATTCCGGCTTTTATRTTTATAGTTTTCCATTGTTAAATATTTAATATCAACATTTGTAATATATATCTTTGAACCGACCAAGACAGGGATTGTATTTTGTAATTAAGATGCTTTGCTTACTTTATAAGGATTTGAACACTTACATTTGCTTGGCAACAGAAAAATGTTTCTTGGAAAAAGTCGTGGTCTATTGTAAATAAATAACTGGTGTTTCATTAGTGTTTTCTCTCAATCACTCACTCACTCTCTCTCTCTCTCTACCTCTTTCTTTCCCCCTAAATTGCACTCCTCTCTGCAAACCCCAACCTTCTCTCTCTCTCTCCCTACCCTCCTTCGGCCTTCTTGGCAATTACTCTAGCCCCACATTAGTAGCGTCATTTCCTAGTATCCCTTTCTTTTTTATTGGAAACCACGATTGATAAATGCTTCCCCTCTCCTGCTATAGTGGTTGGTATGATCCTCAGCCGATCACACAACGCATAGAGATAGTGCTACGGCTTCGTTCTTCCAGCTGTGTTTAAAGGTGTTTTTAGCTTAAAGATTTTCCTCCCTTCTACAAAAACCATTATCAAACTCCAAATCAACCTGGTATTGAAGTGGACCAAATTGGAAACCAGTCATAGTTTATCGTAATGAATTTGTCTACCAATATCATGAATAAAAGATAATATAATAATAATAAATATGATAGATAATAGAAGTTTAAATTTTTGTCTTCTGGCTTCAATATTGAGGCAATCCAGAAACCATGCCAATCAATTGCGATTAATGAATGATTTTCAGTACATGTTTTAATCGTAACTGCATATTTAAACTATATCTTGTAAGATAGCGGTTAATTGTCAGAGGATTAGGCGAATGTGAAACAATAACAACGTACAACGGTCAACAAAGGTCAGGGTTTCTTACCAATATATATTCTATAACAAAAAGATGAACTTACGAAAAGAAAATGAATAAAACAAACAGAATGTGTCAATTTTATCCTGAAAAAAAATATCGGCTTTTTCTGTCAAACTTAGGAATACTAAAACTTGGCTTGTAGTTTTGAACCAAATAATCAATTTAAACAACGCGGTGTTACAACAATAAACATCACCCAAGTTTAAAACTCGAAATTAATCATAATTACGATTATAACTTTAATAATGAGAAATAAGAAATAAAGACTTTTCTTCGGTCAAAAGCAAGCTTTTAGTATCATCTGATAACGTTGATTAGCGAGTAACAAGAAGCAAATTGTGTAAGTTTGGCTTGATAAGATTACTTTAACTCAGACTCAACCGGTGTCCTCTCATGATRATAAACTTGAATTTCTTTTCTGTTCATTTACGAAATATAAAATATTCATAAACTCCGGCATTGCATTTCAAATCTTTAGGCAAATCTTCTTCACGCTRGGACCATAATTTATATATGATTGTGTGGTCAATACGGAAACAGAAGGCAAGCCATATTAAAAATAGATATATATTTTGAATTCGAGTTTTAAAAAACTAGCCTTGGTGTCTTCGACTTTAAAAATTAAACTTTCGTATTTGTATCTAAAGTAGAGATATTTTTTAACGGATTAAGAAGGATATTTAATATAGGCTTAACTCTTTTTGATAAAGGTTTACTAGAATCGTTTTAAACTGTTTGAAAAGCATTTTTCAATGAAGTGGTTGCTTCAAGAATGATAAATGAYTACTATACGATCCTTTCGCTTCTCAGTTTCAGTTTCTTACAGATTTGAACAGAATTTCGTCATGTTCGCTCGAGGCGTTTACCTTCGTTGTAGACTCTTTAAGGTGTTCAAGCAGTGAAGTCATTAGTAAGGATAGTTTCTATGGACAGGTGGAATAGGCTTTATCAAGAAAAACACTAGCAAAAACTTGATTCCTATTTCTGACCATCAAATACGAACGTTTGACTTTTCGTATAAAAACTCAAAGTCCCAATGAATGGTTTCAGAAAGGAATACTCGATGTTGTGATGTCTGAAGTGGTTTTTCAGTGAAGATCTAAATACGAGATATCTACGGTCATTCAAAACAAAAGCCACCCACAGAGGCTCATTTGCATTACGGGTAAATTATGCAAATGTTACGAGTGACGGTGTTCCTTATTCTACCATAAATACGACTCGCTAACAACAGTCTCTCTCTTGAACGCCTTCATATCCAGCGAAAAGAGATATCATTTTCGAGGATCATGGTCGAATGAAGGCGTTATGACGGCTTACGTCTTCAGACTTCTGGTCCAGAGACCTAAGCTGTGTTTTGGTAAGCAAAGACATTGAAATTTCCATTGAAATGAAAAGAGAAACTATACGACTACCTACGATGAAAAATACGTTTGTTCTTCTATTCTATTTTGTTTTTCAGGCTTACTGTTACTAGCTCATACAATACTGATCATCACTACAGCTGGACTATATTTTTCTGGCTACGATATTCTACCGGCGGATTTCACACAAGTTCCTTTGAATTTAGAAACGGATGACCGAAAGTTGAGAGCTGATGCGTGGAAATTTGTCCGTCAGGACCCAACAGTTACTCTCAACCCTTTGGTCGTAGGGAAGCAAAAAGAGAGAAGCTCTCGAAGAGATGTCCTTGAGATCTTCTACGAGTTACGAGACGGGAACGTTTTCAGCAGAGAAAATCTTAAGTTGATCAACAAGACTGAAACAGAACTATTCAATAACAAAGTCTATCGATCAAAGTTATGTCTTATGGAAGGCAATGGAAAATGTCGTTTACCAATGTCGATTATACGTTTTTTCGATGGAAGTCTTAAGATGAAGGATCCAATTTTTGAGGACCATGAATTTCGAAATATTCGAGAAATCCTGAAGACAGCAATTAAGTACAACACAACTAAAGCACAACTCGACTTTCACCTGTCAAAAGATGCAGTAATAGACAAAGCTAAGGCTCATTATACACGTACATTGTTCTTTATTGGTTATCCATTGAAAGGCTACTCTAATACTGAAGACAGGGCAGAAGAACAATGGGATAAAATCCAAGAATTTGCTAAAACTGCTTTTGCTGAAGAACTCAACAATAAATACAAGAATGGCGTAGGATCAATGAGAATGTACTACTTCCTCCGCGCGCTCTTCTTCAATGCTATCTCAGAACAAGTTATCTATGATTTACTTCTCGCTGGAGCAAGTTTTACATTCATTTTCCTATTTATGTTATTTCAAACGCACTCCCTGTGGATAACAGGCTGGGCTGTCTTCAGCATTCTTAGCTGCTTTTTCGGTGCCAACTTTGTATACAGAATGATCCTAGATTGTCGGTATATCGGGATTTTCCACGTGTTATCTGTTTTTATTATTCTTGGCATCGGTGCAGACGATGTCTTTGTTTTCCTGGACACATGGCGAGGATCAGATGAAAGAAGATTCCCAAACTTAGCGGCCAAACTCTCGTTCGTTTACCGTAGGGCTGCAAGTGCCATGTTTATAACATCCATCACCACGATGGTCGCCTTCACTACCAGCGTCTTTTCGCCTCTTCTTGGAGTCTCTACCTTCGGGATATTCTCTGCTTTACTTGTCTTTGTGAACTTCTGCTCTGTCGTGACCTTCTTCCCAACTGTTGTTATCACGCATGAACTCTACTGGAAGGACTGGCATTGGAACTGCATTTCCATACCAGGATGGACTGAAAAAGAATCCCATGTAAGCAGAATGGAAATTGAAACGGTCGAACAAGAACCTCACTGGACCGAGAAGTTCCAGCAGCCCCACAAACATGTGGTCAAATTCCTAGGAGGAACATTTTATTACAAAGTTGTTGGCCATAAGGTTGTTCGTTGGATCACTCTGTCCTTTTTTGCCATTATTATTTCCTTATCCGTTTTCTTTGCGATGCAGCTGACGCCGGATGAAGATCAGGTAAGTTCTGGTGGTGTACTGAAAAATTGTTCATCATCACCATCATCATGATGGTGGTGGGCTAAGGGCTAATAACATGTTCCCGTAAAAAAAAACTTTATTACGGAATCTTTAAGGCCTTATGCAGCTCATGTCAGTGAGAACGCCGGATGATGATGATGATGAAGTATTATCATAATGCTGGTCGCTTTTATTTAGCAGATCCTTACTTTGCCTGGCATATTTTCCACGACTGTCAAGTGGCACCCTCTAAATAAATATCTCAATATTATTAATTAATTGCAGACCGTTAAGCAAACAATTTCATTGAAATATAAATAAATACCAGCACCCTGCGACAATAGTTCGTCCACTTCCGTTCTTGCAAAATTCATGCTATGAAAACTGTTGGGTTCCTACTGTGAATAGTCTCTAGCGATAGACCATGATTATTTCTGATATAATTGCAAATTGTAATATATTCCGAGTCAAACAATGAAGTTTCCTTTTAGATTGTAATATCATATAGTGAGGGATGACACTTGAGTTAGAAATTTTAACTTTTCGTATTTTAGCGAGAAGCACCAAAAAAATTCTTTGGTCTCAGATCGCCCATTTCAAATCTAGATATCGCAAGGTCGGATCCGGGGGGGCAAAGGAAGGCTGAAGCCCCCTTCAGCAGAAAAAAAAACAACTTAACTTCTGTGTAATCAATAATTTTTTTCTTAAGCAGCCAAAAACAATATATGTTACTTCCGGACATTTGAGAAAAAAACTCAAAATAGATTGCAAGTATAGTACTTTTTCAATCAAAATATAGAACTTAGAAAAAGAAAATCCAATCAACTAAAAGAAACGACAGTTGAGAAAGAATCATGTTTCATTCGAAACATTTTTTTTGCATATCGGTCAGTGTTTGTCGTCAAGGGTTTTTTTTCGATTTATTAAATGTGTCGCCTAAAGGCTTTTCAAATTAGATCGACACTTCAGTTTTTGTCTGCACATTTTCATTAATTCGTGTTCCCTTTTATATTTTTAAGTAGACTGATTCCATAATTCGGTGTTTTCGCTCTTCTGAGCGACGACAACTCACAAAGGAGCGAAAACTACGACTTATGGAATCAGTCTGATTTTTAAGGTTCTGTAAGAGTTTTTTCTTATCGTTTTGTCATTTATTTAAGATGGTATTCATAGTTTTTATTAAAAGCATTTTGTTTTCTTTTTTGCCACTAGGGTTAAGTGTAACATGAGTGAACCAAATCCACTTGGGTGTAATATTTTTCCATTTCAGACCATACGTCATTCTCTTGAGTATCATTTCTTAGTTTGAATCGTATCTGTATTCATCTGTCTTCTCATCCACACCCGTTAATCAAAGAAATAATACTCTTGGGAATGACACGTGGTCTGAATTGGGAAAACATTATTTTCAAAAGTTGATCTGGTCCATTACCGCAACAAGTAAGTGTCTCTTCCTCCAGAAGGAATAGTGCCCTTATAAAGGACTTATCTTAGCTTTGCACTTAGTAGTTTCGAATTACAAATAGGGCATTAAATCTCTTGTCAACCATTATTTCATTTTGGCCATTTGGCATTATTATTTATTTATGTAGTAATACTATATTCATTTTTACTTTTCCTTATTTTTTTAATAATATGATGTTCGTGTTTTAGACAAGTAGAATTTCAACTTCCCGAATGTCTGTTGTTGCTGTTGTTGTTTTTTTGGGGTTTTTTGTTGTTGTTGTTTTTCGTTTGTTGTTGTTGTTGTTGTTGTT